CCCCTTTTTTTTTAAAAAAAAAAAACCTTCGACTTTTTCAGAGCCTGGTTCTTTCCATTCTCAACCTCCTTGACCTTGTCAAGGCCGAGGAGCGAAAAAATGAGATGGATGAGTTGGAGGCCAAACTTCAGTCCCTTGTTACCGACGCAAAGCAAAAGCTAGATGATGCCAACGAGAAGAGGGACGTGGCCTTGGCCAAGCTGGCGAGTCTGGAAGAAGAACTTTTAAAGTTAAAAAACGAGATCGCGAGTCTCAAGGAACGGGCGGACTTATCTGACCAAAAATTGTCCGAGGCAGCTAGGGAAGCGGAGAGGCGTTTTCTTGAGGGGAAGACTGAGGGGAAAAGGGAAGCTGAGGCGGAAGCCGCGTTTGCTTTCGACACCAAGCGTGTCGAGGTTATCAAGGAGTTTAAGGCCTCCCAAGAGCTTATTGATATCCCCACCAGAGACTTCCAATATACGGGTCAACAAATTGTCGACCTGATCAAGAAGGAGCGTCCTGAGTGGGATTTGAGCTTTCTTTATAACTCCCCCCCTCCTGCGGGTGATGACAATGTTTCTCCGCCTCAGAAGCTGCCGGTGAGGCCTGAAGGATTTTTACCTACCTCTTTTTGTTTTGTAATAAAAAAAATTTTGTTGATCCAGACATCTTTTACTTTTATCTACTCTTTATATATATATTCAAATGACCACAGTTTTAATTTATACCTTGATTCGCACTTGCTGCTTTCTTTATTAAGTCTTCGCCTTTCTTTTCTGGGAGACCTGACGTCGATTGTGCCCCTTGGGGTCGTCGTCTCAGGAAATTCCTTGGAATTTCGCTAAGTCTTTTGTCTTTCCTCCTTAGAGGATCTGACGTCAATTGTGCCCCTTGGGGCCGTCGTCTCAGGAAATTCCTTGGAATTTCGCTAAGTCTTTTGTCTTTCCTCCTTAGAGGATCTGACGTCAATTGTGCCCCTTGGGGCCGTCGTCTCAGGAAATTCCTTGGAATTTCGCTAAGTCTTTTGTCTTTCCTCCTTGGAGGATCTGATGTCGATTGTGCCCTTGGGGTCGTCGTCTCAGGAAATTCCTTGGAATTTTGCTAAGTCTTTTGTCTTTCCTCCTTGGAGGATCTGACGTCAATTGTGCCCCTTGGGGCCGTCGTCTCAGGAAATTCCTTAGAATTTCGCTAAGTCCTTTGTCTTTTTAATTTGACTCGTGGATCCCTGTCCCCCCATGTCTGTTTAATATAACCTTGGTTTTTAAGCAGACATGTTAGTAAGGGATGAATCCTTTTCCTTATTATTGGTAGTACAGCTTTAGTTGTTCCGCATTCCACGGGTGTTGGATCTTCTTGCCGTCGAGGCTTTCCAAAACATAGGTTCCGGGACGTAGCATTTTCCTTATGCGGTAGGGCCCTTCCCATGTTGGGCCCAGTGGACCAGTATTCTTAGGTTTTGTGCTTTGCGTTACCCTTTTTAGTACTAGGTCCCCTGGGATGAACCTCCTCTGTCGGACTTTCTTGTTGTAATATCGCGCCGTTCTTTGCTGATAAGCGGCGAGACGTAGTTGGGAGTCGAGCCTTTTTTCCTCCAACAAGTCGAGCTCTCCGTTCATGCCTTCCGTGTTGTCATCGTCGTTATGGACGATGGTTCTTAGAGTCGGCGTTTCGATTTCTATGGGGAGTACTGCTTCGACGCCATATGCCATGGAGAAAGGTGTCTCACCCGTAGTAGTTCGGCTCGTCGTTCTGTATGCCTATAGGACCTTGGGAAGTTCCTCGGCCCATTTCCCTTTCAGATCGTCGAGTTTTTTCTTGAGGGTATACTTTAATATCTTATTGACCGCCTCGACTTGTCCATTGGATTGTGGATGGATCGGCGTCGAAAAATCTTTCCGGATGCCCAAGTCATCGCAGAACCTGCGCGTTGAGGCGTTGTCGAACTGCCTTCCGTTGTCGGATACTATTGAGTGGGGAACCCTGAACCTGCACATGATGTGATCCCACATAAATTTGGTGCAGGCTGCTTCCGTGGTTATAGTTAGGGCCTTTGCCTCTGCCCATTTTGTGTAGTAGTCTACCGCAACGATTGCAAACTTAAATCCTCCAGGTGCAAGATGTAAT